TCCCAGTTGGCTTGTTAGCTCAATTGGTAGAGCGCTGCACTAGTATCGCAGAGGTCAGTGGTTCGAATCCCGTACAGGCCTGACTTTTTTTTTCAGGTCTGATTTTTGCTATTGCTTAAATAGTGCTATCTACTGCGAGGATCGTGCATCATACGTATCTAATACCGCAGTTCAAAATATATGAACTTCATATATTTCATTGTATCTGATCTTTTAAAAACCGCTTTCAAATGTGCTTAAAATTCAACTGCGCTGTTTCAGCTCCCCATTTAACCATCTCTCGTCAATCTGTGGGTACAATTTGTATGTAGACGAAAAATGTAGTCTAAAAAAGCAAGAATATTTGTTGCAAGAGCAATAGGCATAGGTCAGAACAGGGCTCGACACTAACTGTTCAACTTACTAGCTAAGGGGCTGGTGACATCTTAGATGCTACGACAGTGTCAGTTCGTTTACTAGCCAAACTCGGCTGGCTAGTGAAAACCGAAAACCACTAGCCAAAACCGAATTAATTTCTACTAGTCTGTGGCTAGTAGGCTACTGTTAGTGTCTTAGCCCTGTCTAAGTGTTAATTAGGAACTTTAATTTATTCAGGGTAAGCCGTTAGGGCAGAGTGTGCGAGACTTTGAGTAGCAAGTGGTGTGTTTTTGCTCTTTACAAGAGTATATCCTACTCTTTTTTGATTGTTTTGTAACATTTTGGTAGCAGAGTGAGGTGAACTTTATCTCGAGAAATCTGTATAGAATACCTGGTTGAAGGATTTGATAATTTGTCATCAAATTATAGTTCTAATTCTGGGTTAGTCACTGGTGTTGTGATTATGCAAATCTTTTCAAACACCTTTGCTGGGCTAGTGGAGACAAGTGGAGAGGAGACTGTGAACAAGGGACCTGAGATAACAGATGGAGGGAGGGGAGCTCCGAGTTAATCAAGAAGTTTCAGATGTTCTTGCTCCTTTACAGAACTTTTTGGTGGGAAAGTGTTCAAGATCACCTACTGCAGGAAGTTAATGATTAGAAAAGAAGCCTGGAAGGATTGGCTTCCCTAGTGTTAAGTAATCTGTCAAGGAAAGCTCAGAGGGACAATGATATTCTTATGAAGTCCCTCAACAACTGGTTTGGGGCTTTTCATCAATCTTAACTTGTCTGAGCAAAGTTTAAGACATGCACAAAGTGCTGTAATGAGTCATTACTTGAGCTAGCTTTGGATTTAGAATGGTTGGTAAAATTAGCTTATACCAAAGCCGAGGCTGTTTTTCAAGACACTCTTGCTAGGGATCAGTTTGTGGATGTACTGCCTGACAAAGAACTACCCCTGGGTGTCTGGCAGGGAAGATGCGAGCTAATCCAGGAGCTCTTGAGTCAGCATGGGAGCTTTAATCTGATAAGTTGGCTAACAGTTGGGGTCAGGTGCCTTCCAGAAGTATGGCTTGCCAAGTTTGTTTGGATTTTCAGGTGAATCAGGGCTCGACACTAACGGTAGCCCACAAGCCACAGACTCATAGAAATTCAGTTTTGACTATAGTGGTTTTCAATTTCCACTAGCCAGTTTGGCTAGTAAACAGACTGAAATTGTCGTAACATCAAAAAACATCTAAGATGTCACTAGCCACTTGGCTAGTAAGTTGAAAAGTTAGTGTCAAGCCCTGTGAATGGAGAGGACTTAGAGGGACAAGTTCCATCTAGAACCCAGTCTAGAACCCAGAGAGCACTTAAAGGCTGGAAACACTAATTAGCAGCGTATTGGATGAAGTGTGGTCAAAGTTGGGACCACAAAGGGGAATTAGTTGGCAAGGGATAAGATGTTTTCACTGTTAATGAAGTAGCCAAGTGCAGAGGTGGTGGTGGACCTTTCGTGCCAGGATTCGTGCAAGTACTTCATTGCTAGTTTTTGATTGACTCAGGACCTAATGTGTGGATTATGAATCTGAAGATGCTGGAGGCTATTTTGAAACAGGAGGTCCTGTGTAGTTGGCTACAAAGAAAAATTTTCACATCCTAGATAGTGGGACTGTTCTTGTCAAGTGTAATGTCAAGCTTAATCTAATGATTGGAGAGATAAATGTCATGTAACAGTTCTGGGTGGCTCCAATGGCCAACAAATATGTGACCTCACGGGAAAACGTTCCAAATGGTTAGCCGTTTTTAAACGGATAGCTGTTCATCAGCCCTTCAAATGGATTGGCATGGTTTGAACGCCTTGAGCTATCCTTTCTTGAATATTCATCATCCATTCGAACTGTTTGAGCTATCCATTTAAGAAACTTCATCATCTGTTCGAACACCTCTAGCTATCCGTTCTTGAATATTCATAATCTGTTGGAACACCTCCAGCTATCCGTTCTTGAATATTCATCATCCGTTCGAGAAAGTTCATCAGCCGTTCACTTGGCACTTTGGCAACGATGGTAGAAACATTTTTGGTGTGATCACAATCCATATCTTCTCNGATAACAAGTCCTCTTGGAGATCGGCTGTGTCTTCATCACAACAAATTGTCCCATATAACAATGCATCATCAGCAAAAAGTCTAACAGTAGATTTAAGAGTATCAGGTAAGTCATTTATATACATTAAGAACAGTAGCGGTCCTAAGACTGTTCCTTGGGGAACACCAGATGTGGTAACTACAGGGGCAGATGATGCCCCCTCAATTACCACTGATTGGGTATGCTGTGTTAGGAAAGATTCAAACCAGTTAAGTGGTGGGCCATGAATTCTGTAATAGTCAAGTTTCTTCAAGAGTCGACAATGGGGAAATTTGTCGAATGCTTTTAAAAAATCAAGGATTGCGGCGTGAATTGTTTTGTTAGACTGGATAGCACTTGCTATGTCATGAATGGTACATATGAGCTGTGTTTCTGTTGATCGTTTCACTCTAAAGTCATGTTGACAATCAGTGAGCACCCTATATCGTGAAAGATGCTTCATAACATGGCTATGTACAATATGCTCAAGTACCTTTGATGCAATCCAGGTAAGTGACACAGGCCTATAATTTGAAGGATCAGATTTCTTTCCTTTCTTGTGAATAGCGCATACGTTGGCATGTTTCCATTGGATAGGCACAGTTCTGGTATGAATACAATCTTGATATATGTCAGTAAGGACCTGTGATATTTCATAGGCATTTTCCTTTAAAAACCAGGGTGGAATTCCATCTGGGCCATACGCTTTATCTACCTTCAACTCGCTAAGTTGCTTTTCAACTCCATGGGTTGTGATTTTTATTGTTCCAATAGTCGGGATAGGGCTTTTGCCAAGATCTGGGATATTCTCTGATTCTTCGTTGTTGAAAACACTGGAGAACTGGCTATTTAGCACTTCAGCCTTAGCTCTCGGTTTGATAAACACTTTATTTCTAACTTTGAGGTCCTGGGTATCTGTACCCTCTTTTCCTAGTTTTTCGATGCGTGACCAAAAAGCCTTCGGGTTTTGTTTTATGGAATCACAGAGAAAGTCAGAAAGATAATTTTTCCTGGACTCATTCAAGTTCTTGTGTAATTGTTTCCTTACTAATTTAAATTTATTCCAATCGGATTGGCTTACAGATTTCTTCGCTCTATTGTATAGCCTTTGCTTTTTCGTTGTCTGTCTTCTCAAGCTACGATTAAACCACAGTAGGTTATAGCGCGAGGTAGTAAACTTGTGTGGTATACAGGAGTCCATAATTCCTGTGAGTCTGTGTTGAAATATATTCCACTTTGTGTGTACGGATTCGTTCTTCATT